CACAGTACAACTAGAACTATACGGTATTATAAATGTAGTGTACAATTTACAATTAGAACTGTACGGTGTACATGCAATTTACAATGTACAACAGGAACGGTACGGTGTACATGCAATTTACAATGTACAACTAGAACTATACGGTATTATACATGAAGTGTACAATTTCCAACTAAAACTGTACGTTTAAAACAAGTTAGCTGTCTAATTACAGAAACTAATGTGATATCACAAAAAACGGGGGAAAATTGGAGGCCAGGTTTCAAACATAGTTTTTACAGTGTAGGAGTAGGGGGAATAAAAACTTTAAATGGGGAAAGGGAAGGAGGGGGGGGTTACAGGAGGGGGAAATCATATTAATTTTGACACTTACTGTCACTTGAAAATTATAAGCGCTATCTTTATCTTTCAAATATCCACACATACACACAGATCAAAATTTGAGGCCAATCAGTCAAGGTGTTCATGAGTTATGATCGGACATACAAACAAACTCAGATAAACAGAGATTACAACTTTATATCTATAGATATAAAGTTGTAATTTCTGTTTGTAGGAACCCCTTGACCGATTTGCCTCAAATTTTGATTGGGGAACTTGGTAGAACCACAGGAATGTTCTCATCTTGGTTTTGAAAGTCCAAAGTGAGTGGGTCGACTTAAAGAGCGAAAATTTTGTTTCCCGGTAAAATCGTTCAAGTGCGGGTAACGGCGTTTTTAACTTTTAATAACAGCTAGGCAGCACTGGGTTTCCAAGCTAGTATATAGATAAAGATGGTTCTTCCCAATATATCTTCAAATAATGTGAAATTAACACCTACTTTATTGATTCTATGAGGTTTAGATCATCATCAACTCCAAATTTTGAATAAGAGGAGTTATGATAGAAAACATGTAATTAATGTCAAATTTATTTTGTTTTAATGTAAAATTAGATGCAATTAGATGCAATAAGATGCAATTAGATGCAATTAGATGCAATAAGATGCAATTAGATGCAATTAGATGCAATTAGATGCAATTAGATGCTATTTAATACGCACTAAAGTTGACGCATTGAGGAGACGCTATTGAGAACGCACTAAAGTGTGACATAGATATATATGGCATAAGGAAAAAAAGTAAGACTTAAACCTGTAGAATTCAAAAATAAAAGATTGAAACAAATTAACTTTGTGTTTATATTAATTTAGACCGATTCAGAAAAGACAAACCATTAAAAAAAAAACACTGTATACATATAAATAGACATGTAGTTTTATATGTACATATATATATATATATATAGCTATAAAGCAATAATCAGAGCAGCTTCTTAGTTTTCATGTATATATATAGATAGCTGATAGATAGACTGAGAAATAGGAAAATTGAAAGTTTGATAAATAGATAGATAGAAATGTTGACAAATGGATTGATTGAAAGAAAGAAAGATAGAAATATAGAAGATAAATAAATAGAAAGATTGAAAGTTTGATATATAGATAGATAGATAGAAAGTTTGATAGATAGATATATATCTGATTAGTATAATAACGGTGTCTGTCCTCCTAGTTCTTCACTGTTCATATCATTTAGCCCTTTAACTCTCTCTCACGCCACTATACGGGATCTTCTTTAGTAATATCAACAGTAAGCAAGCATAAAACTTTAGTCCTTCTTTTCCAATCGCTCAGTCCAAATTTTATATGTCGCCCCACCCCCTCCCTAATTTTTTACACTTCTTAACAGCTTATATATTTTGGATTAGGTAAGCTTAACTCAATTTCCGAACCAAGAAAAATATCTTTATTTTAAAGTTAAGTTGAATATATTGCTTATTTATGATGATAATTGTTAGTATTGCTGAAAAGTAAAAAAGAAAGTATTTATATCACTAAAGTTAAGGTAAGCTATTTGTACAGTGTACATAAAGACAATAGACGGCAAAACGGGTGAGTACACCAAATGAATTATCTCCTCCTAGTGAGAGTAATGAGATATGACAATTTTTAAATATTGACAGAGTTTATTCTTAAAACTGAAAACCCTTCTCCTCCCTTGGCCTCATCCCTTTAAATAAAACAGAAACCATACACGCACCTCTGCTCCTTTAGTAAAAGTAAATTCAACATATATGAAGCATAAAGTCTGAATGTCTCAACCTTGTTGCACTGGCTAGAACTATCCATAGAGCTAGGTACAGTACAAACTGGGACAGGAAAGGTTGACCCGGCTCGTAAATTTAAATGTAGAAGAAAATGTTAAAAGTATAAAGGAAGATTATTTTTAGATAAGTGAAGTACATGCTGTAAATTAGTTTGAAAACTACATGATGATTTAAGAAGACAGAACACTGAAATGAGTTCTAACTTCTAATGTGAATTAGCTGTAAGAGCTGAAAGTTGTTTAAACATTTAAGACAAATATTTGGATTATAGGGACAGACAGTTCTACACTTCAAACCCCTCCCCTTCCCTTTCAATACCCCCCTTCCTATCTACTTTCTTTCTCCTCCCTCCTTCCCATCCCCTTCCCTTTCAATACCCCCCTTCCTATCTCCTTTCTTTCTCCTCCCTCCTTCCCATCCCCTTCCCTTTCAATACCCCCCTTCCTATCTACTTTCTTTCTCCTCCCTCCTTCCCATCCCCTTCCCTTTCAATACCCCCCTTCCTATCTACTTTCTTTCTCCTCTCCCTTTCTCATATCTTTTCTTTTTCCTCGTCCTTTTTCTTCCCTTTCCATATGTTTTATTTTTTTCTCTCCCATTTCCTTCCCTTCTTCTACATCTTACCATCTCTTTTTCTTTTCCTCTTTCCATCTCTTTCCCCTTTCCTATTTTTTTGTTATCCACTCCAATTCCCATCTCTTTCCTTTCTCCTTTCCATTCCCGGTTCCTATACTCTCCTTCCCCTCCCTCTAACCCAACTCCCCTCATCATTAAATCCCTCTCTTCTATAAGTATATAACATATATACAATATTAACTGTACAAATGAACAGATGTTGCGCGCGAATGCCTCGTTTAATTGTTTTTCAAAACTTAGAGATATCATATTTCCCCGCCAATACATTCAATTATTGTCACTTTGGAACTCTCTCTAAACAACTTCATTATTGGGGAGATAAGCACACGGGGATTTAAATAATATTTTTACACAACACACGCCAAACTCAACATAGAACACATGCACACCAAACTAAGAGGAAATATCTCACTAAAAAATAGTAACATTTTTTACTCCTGCTGGAATACAAAATAACTAAAAGTTGAATAAGATTTTGTTATTGAATTAAAGAGATCAAGGATGAACAAGATATCCTTATTTTCATAAATATTTTATTATATTATTATATGAGAAATGAAGTAAGTTTACAGAATTCAACATTTTTAAACTAGAATACGAAGAAATCTTCCTCATTGTGAATCGGACATGCACCTCTCTAGAGAAATCTAGGTTCACTTCAAACTATGCTTACGGCTTCCCGAAGCTAATAAAAGATGCAAATGTATGATACATGAATTAAATGCATTTTTGGTGTTAAAAAGAAATCTGCACAGTCGTCTCTATTTGTATGGATATCCCTGTAAAAGTATTAAAAAGCTATATGTCCACCCCTAGAAGAGGACTGTAAAATAAACGATATTTAAGAACACTATATTAAGAGGTTGGAACCCTAAATAACTAAAAATCCAATTTTCAATATAAACAAATATATTTTATCACCCAGATATTTGAAAGTATATTTTGAGCACCAGACCTTCTTAAAAAATACCGCCCCACTCTAGGCTGCAAGTGCACGTCTACGCCTGGTATATATCAGGGGTGGGGGTTCAAGGCCAGATAAGATAAACAATACTCTTAATTTTCCCTTGGCATAGATTTGAACCGTACGCGTTTTGACACTTTTTTACGCAGAACTGGAAAACACAGTTAGGCAAAACTATGATCTTTTTTGTTAACATGGATGGCCAAATATTTGGATTTAAAAACTGTTAAATACCTATTTTTGCAGAACCCTTAATATCTTAATACGGAAAACGTCGTCTTTTAGTTATAAATTTTTTTGATTATCTTTAATTCTCCATGCAGAATAAATGCGCAACCTACTTTTGTAAAATCACAATTGAAAATAATCAATTTTTTTAATAATTATAAATATGGATATATAATTCCGGCTTGATTCAGACAAAGCTTTGAAGGGTACCATTGTAAATTTACAAGGACTTTTCCTTCAGATTCGAAATTGAAAATGCGGAATAACAATTCCCTCAAAATGAAATAGAATAGCGTCAAGTTTGTCAGCTTAACATCATCATGGGGTGGCAAAGGGATGTACATGGAAAATATATTTTCTATCAGGGTCCAAATATATTTTCTATCAGGGTCCAAATATATTTTCTATTAGTGTCCAAATATATTTTCTATCAGGGTCCAAATATATTTTCTATCAGGGTCCAAATATATTTTCTATCAGGGTTCAAATATATTTTCTATTAGTGTCCAAATATATTTTCTATCAGGGTCAAAATATATTTTCTATCAGGGTCCAAATATATTTTCTATCAGGGTCCAAATATATTTTCTATTAGTGTCCAAATATATTTTCTATCAGGGTTCAAATATATTTACTATCAGGGTTCAAATATATTTACTATCAGGGTCCAAATTTATTTTCTATTAGGGTCCAAATATATTTACTATCAGGGTCAAAATATATTTTCTATCAGGGTCCAAATATATTTACTATCAGGGTCCAAATATATTTTCTATCAGGGTCCAAATATATTTTCTATCAGGGTTCAAATATATTTACTATCAGGGTCCAAATTTATTTTCTATTAGGGTCCAAATATATTTTCTATCAGGGTCCAAATATATTTTCTATCAGGGTTCAAATTTTGTAAAGTGTAAAAATATTAAGAATAAACAGTTTCTATGACCCCAAGAGAAAATGTCTGGAAAAAACGAACCGAAACGATTAACAGCATTGTTTACTGATAAATCTATAATTTTTAATATCAATTTCTTATAGTTTATTTACAGCACGTTGTCACTGAGAAATCTTTAACAACATATTTGATGATAAAAATAAATAATGGTTATATTTAAATATCTATTTTGTCTCTGTTTCTAGGAAAGAACTTTTAAACTCCATGGCCTGCTTGACAACTGCTTCTTCCTGAAATACTTTAATTATCTATTCAATTAATCAATTTAATAATTAAATAATAATAATTAAATATACAGGATTTGATTTGATCAAATTTGAGAACTACTCTGCTTTCAGTTAGTTTTTAAACTAAGGAAATGATTCTGATGGATTTTTAAATTCTATTTTTTTGTTTAATTGATTTTTGTTATCCCCACCCTGCTAAAAATCCTCCCCTTATTCCTTATTTTTAAATCTATTTTTGTAAGCAAAAATTCTTGCACCCTATATTTTTAGACGTCGATGAATATATTCTATTGGACAAAACCTTCATTAATTGGTAACATGTACATTTTAGCACTACTTGTTAGATTTGGTTTTTTAGAAGTAATTGGCAAAATTCTCAATGATTTTTGCTTGAGAGCGTGAGACCATTAAATCGCAGTGCAGGGTGCATTTTGGTTTTGGACCACCTACATGCTCTAGTGACATCTACGTTGTAGACTGGTGCAAACTGCAAATTTCTGTTTAAATTATATATATTTAAAACAAGTAAATTGTTTTAGTCTGAACCCGTGTTAAATCTTTAGCTGTATATACACAGTTCTACTCATTCATGGGGTCCTCAGTTAATTATTAGGTGGTGTTCAAACAGACAGATGGGCTGTAGGAGGGGGGGNTTACAGATTCTCTTACCTTAACTGCCATATAAAAGTGTACTAAAATTTTCCCTAATATACTTTATAGTTCAATCTTAGGTATCAGTTTACAAGAGAAAACTTTTTAAAACACTGCACTGTAGCATTGTAGGAAACATAACCTGTAATGGGACTGTAAGCATAATTTTAAATGACCCTCCATGAAAAGTTGGCGAAGTTGGCTATGCCTGATTTACACTTTAAAGCTTTGTATTTTCAATTACGAATTAGATACCAGTAGTCTTGGTTTTCTTTATTTAAAATGTTTATTTGCATTTGTGGGAGTGACTTGCGCATTTCTTGCTGACAAGAAACAATGGATAATTATCAGAAAAAAAACTGTTTTCGAGTCAGAAAAACAAAGGTATCTTCCACATCTTTTATCAGATTAAGGTTTGGAGGGTACCCTGTGTGCATTGCGAATTGCCATCTTTACATAGAGAGTCACTTGAAATTACACTTACAGTCCCTATTCTTAAACCTTTCTGGTATGAAAATGTCTACTCTTATTGTGATTTAATGTCCATGAAAATGTCTACTCCTATTGTGATTCAAATGTCCATGAAAATGTCTACTCTTATGGTGATTCAAATGTCCATGAAAATTTCTACTCTTATGGTGATTCAAATGTCCTGTTTTATAAGCTGACCTTCACTTTCGGACCCATTTCTTACCCGTTAGAGATAGGTTTTTCGTAATTTCTTTTTTATACTTTTTTGTTGGGCTAAGCATTTCAAATTGTTACGTACAAACAGGGTTACCCACAAAAGATGAGACTGTAAAGACGACTTTGAAACTCTTTGAATATGATAATGCCAAGGCAAGAGTATTCTGCTTTGAATATTTTTTCGTTTGTCTTTTAGTGGGTTATTAAGTATTTGGTCAAAACACAAGGCAAGTTTACAGTTGCAGGGAATCATGAATGTAAAGAAACAGAAAGTAAAAAAATTCGTACAGTCGTCTCTGAGATCTCATTCTTTGTTAGTACCCCCCCTCCCCCTCTCTTCTTTCCCTTATTTTTTTGCAGGTTAAGCAGCTGGACGCTGTGTGCGGTGTATTATACTAATTATAGTTTTCTTAATCTAATAACAGATGTCGCTACCTGCCAGCAAATAAAGTGAACTTGTTCAAGAAAATGAATAGGACAGGACACAATTAGGATTAGTTACAGGGTAGACAGTAGACACCGAGAAAATGTGAATATTTTACAATTCGATTTTTTTCTTCTTTTAAAACAACTTATAAAAATTTGAATTTAAAGAAATATTGATTCAAGCCCGTAGCCAGGGGGGGCACAGAGGCACGTGCTCCCCCTTTCACCCCCGAAGGGAGGGGGGCACGGGGGAGCACACTTTCTGAGACAAAAAAGAAGAAAATAAAAATAAATGAAACTTACCAAAAACAAAAGATTCATTAGATGTTTATTATGTCCTTTAGTATTATATAGGATTACAGTTAAAGTAAAAAAAATTTAAGATAAAAATGTACTTTGAGTATCTCCAAAATCAAGCCTTATTTCTTTTTATGTTTTTGAGTTTAAAATGGATAAATTAGTAATAGCTAAATTCTAGTGTGGGGCACTGTCCCTCGCAGGACTGTGATACCTCTTCTTAATGCAGAAAGAAAAAGACATAAAATTGTGAAAAAATATAAATATTTATACAGTGTCGTTTATCCACTAAAACATGAATGATTTACGGTTTAAGAATATCCAATCAAAACCACATAAATCAATTTTAATGTACATCAGCAATTTTAAAATTATTACTGAGATATTCTAAACTAATTGTTGTCTCGTCAACTCACAAAGATTCAGCCTGCTTAGTCTCATCAATATTTAAGACAGGGTCGACTTTGAAGTGTTGCAAAGCCTTGGGCTTTGATTTTACCGCTCTAACTCACTTTTGCTTTTCTGTAGCCCTTAACATATACATTTTAGCACTACTTGCTAGCTTTAGCTTTTAAGAAGTAATTGGCAAAATTCTCATAGATTTTTGCTCGAGAGCCAGAGACCTTTAAATCACAGTGAACTGTGATTGGTCGTTAGTGCCGCCGAGTTTGTTCCAATAAACGAAGCTGGCGGGAAGTCTCTAGGCGCCTTATTCATTTGATCGTCAAATTGTTTATAGAATTAAAATTCAGTCATCACCCCCCTCCCTCCACGCAAAAATGGCTGTCAACTTCTTTATACTTGTGTTCCCAATAATACCAATTAATATAAGAGTTCAAATATTAATTCCCACAGTGACGCCACATACAATTTACAATTTGTTCTGAATATTAAATATATAATAATAGAAATTAGCATTTCCATCTGCGGGTGATTTCCTACATATTTACGGATGTCTCTTGTTTTGAGGCCCATTTGCAAATTTTTTTTATCCTCTTTAAAGGCCTCTCAACAATCTGAGATGCAAATCCTAATTCAAAATTGCATGCTAGACAAGGTTGCTTTTTTTTACACAGAGCAACATTTTTACTATGAGTAAAGATGTTAACCAAAACCATTTTTTCAAAACGGAAAACGATTTTACTAATATAAGTAAGTTGTAACTGGAATAAGGTTAATTTCGACTGAGTTTCAGCTGTAAGACTTTGCGACATTGTTGCAATCCCTCTAGTTTTATTTAATTCCCAAGAGTGAAGAAAAGCAAACTTGTTTGATCTTTATAAGGATTTAAAACCCTTTTCTCTTAACCCTATCCCGATTGGGCTAATTTTGTCTAATATAGATTGGGGGTGTTTCCTCCACCCCCCCCCCATGATTTTACCCTTAGAGTTGAGATAGGGGAGTGTGATTACCCTAGTCCAACTTTTTAAGGCCTGCTCGTTAAACAAAACTTTAATGATTAGGCTGCTTAAGGGAGAATTCTAAAAAAGATTCAAAAAGTATGTTCAAAAATAGTTATTTTATCTTTTTGACAAATATTAACATGTGACTCATATTATTGTATCCATTTTTCAAGGGCTTTTTAAATATATAAATTTTAGCCCTGTAACTTAATTGAAAAGTTATTAACCATTTCCGATTTTTATTGAAAAACCGACCCGCCGTTTGACTGACCTCCACCCTACCCTATGCATCGATCGTGATATGGTAAATCAATATGGTATATCGAAAAAAGGATTTATTCGTGTGATTTTGATCTAAAGTAACTGTATTTTAATGAGTGAGTAAATATTTTTTCTTTAAAAACTAAACTTACCGTAAACGTCCCTTCCCCCTCTACCCTCCTCACATATAATAGATTTAAAAAGCGTAAACAGTGAAATAGGAGCTTTCCAACCTAAAACAAGGGTTGACCTGCCCTCGTCAAAGGTCACCAGATTAGGGCACTCCAGAGACACGTGCCACGCGTTGGGGG